CTATGACGCGTTTCGATGTTATTACATCTTCTCAGATAGAGTTAGCAGGCATAGATTCCGAGACCATTGGGATGTTAGTTGTGACCACTACTCCTTAGCCGCCGCGTCACGACGGGCAACGTTTGTCACAACGGTATAATGAACGAGGTTGAGGGTCACTTTGAAGTACACGTTGTGTGGATGGATTGCGACGCGCAATCTCAATGTTGACCGCGATTCCCATTGAAGTGAACCGTAGCTGATGCAAATAGAACTTGGGTGTTGCGCGCCCGAAAACACTGCACTACTATGACGCGTTTCGAGGTTATTACATCTTCTCAGATAGAGTTAGCAAGCATAGATTCCGAGACCATTGAGATGTTAGTTGTGACCACTACTCCTAAGCCGCCGCGTCACGACGGGCAACGTTTGGCACAACGGTATAATGAACGAGGTTGAGGGTCACTTTGAAGTACACGTTGTGTGGATGGATTGCGACGCGCAATCTCAATGTTGACCGCGATTCCCATTGAAGTGAACCGTAGCTGATGCAAATAGAACTTGGGTGTTGCCCGCCCGAAAACACTGCACTACTATGACGCGTTTCGAGGTTATTACATCTCATGAGATAGAGTTAGCAGGAATCGAATTGTCATTTGTCACTGGCCTACAAGCTGTTTGTTTTTTGGCAGGTCGTGATGAATCCTGGACACATAAGATATACATTTGCGACGGTCTGCGCATACACATGGAATCAGTAAATACCATAGAAAACAAAAGAAAGTACAATTGTCTTAATACCGAACCTGACCACAACACAGAGAACCCATGATTTTGTCAGAGGGCACGTTGCTACGGGGTTGCGCTAGTCGAGGCAGGAACACTAAAGGTAGAGATCCCTAGAGGAGGTACATCAGTGTTGCTCCGTCGATGCAACATCTGACGCGGACGCATATCTACGTGATCTTTTTACCTCTCACTGTCAACGCAGTTCGGCTGTGCAACATTTTATTCAGGTACGATTCGCTGTAATCCACAACGTGGGCGTCTACGAATTTCTTGCATTCCGACACCGATTTCGCCACGGCTGTTGTCTGGGACAAACTGTTTCACTATTTCGTCAATCGATGTTCGAAACATAAGGAATGAGCCTTCCTTGTAGCTAACAATTCGCGATGGTTGGCTACCGTCCTCCATATCGCAGTTGCATAGGCTGCGGGCTAGTTGGCACAAGCCACTAGCAGTCATGGGTTCGATCCTCCGTAGAGGACCGAAGGATGCGCACCACTGACGAGCCCCAATAGGGCGAAACGGCCGTCTGGTTCTTTTCCGGATAGGTAGTTGACTTATCTGGGTTGTCGGCTGACTGCGACGAACAAAAATACTCACAAACATCCTTCTACTCATAAGCAATGAGCCTTCCGTTTCAGCTCCGGTACTTGCCAGTGCACTTGACGCGCCCACGTGCAGAAGTGGCCTCAGCAACGGGAACTCACTCCGATGTAGTATCTGATGCGTCATTTTGACGTTCACTAAATCTGACGATGCGGCAAGGTGTACTGATCCGGCCTCTTGCATCGGTCTTCTTACGAAATTCCTCGTAAACTGCGGATGCGTGATTTGTAGCGTGTATGACCGCGAGGCCGTCGCTCTCTATAGCATTGCCGTTAAATCGTTACCGAGTATTATTACTTCGCCCGACCATAATAATTGCAGTCACAGCCTAACGAAAATTGACCAGCTGACATTTGCCGCGTTAGAAAACTGTTCGAAATTCCGCCACTGGTTGCGAAACTAGATTTAGCTGGGGCTACCATGGGCATGATCACGATGGAGCAGTAATTCGCTGGAGACGATAATCAGCACGGCTTCATGCGTGCAGTCTTGCACGATGACCTAATCAACAGCGATTTTAAATTCTGTTAGGATACCTGGAATCGTGCATCCGGTTCAGGATACGGAGCGGTTTGTTTAATCAAATAGGTCGAATCGAGATCAAGGGTCAACAGCTCACCGAAAAACACTCAGCGGCAGAATACTCAACACTTGATCTTGAAAATGGCAGTCACTGTGGTCCTCTCGGAAAGCTATCTTGCCTTTACGCGACACAAACTCTTGTTTATGCACCGGAAAAATTTGGACACCCTGGTCTTGGAACCACTAGTTTCCATACTGCTTACCGAAAAGTGACTGAGCTGTGAGATCACTGACGTAGAGAACGCGTTTCTAAGTCTATCACACGGCAGTAGAGATATGACAGCATAGAAAGCATACGTATTGCTTTACTGCAACATCAACCAACATGCACTCATAAATGACCCGCATAGCGCACCGCTTTGATGTCAGCTCGGAATCAGCTGTATTGATTTATTGTCTTCTAAATCTGCAAGCGATTCTTTGAGTTATTGAGTTCATCTCGCTGCACTGTTTGTTGCCTATGTCATTCCTATCCTCTCATATTAGAGTGATGCGCCATCCGAACTAATGAGACATATTCCTCAGATATTTTTATCAGACTGCCCTCCGTAGCCATGAAGAAGAAGTAGATCGTTTGTTGCTCGTCCGAAAGCACTGCACTCCACGATGCGTTCACGACCTTATTTGATCTCATTCAAGTTGTGCATTGCAATCCCGCCACACACACACCATATACTTCAAAGTGACCCTCAAATCATTCATTCCCTTGTTTTACGCATTAATGAGAAAGCACTGGAGCCTGTGACCTTATGTCACCCCCTGAAGTCCGTTTTTATTGTGTAAGAGAACGCTTTAGTGTGGCCTAAACAACACGCGTGACTGCGCGGACAGTCAGCCATACAAAGATTCGACGCAAACGCTTCACTTGGTTGCAGCCAGCTTACTATGATCAGATCAGAGAGTCACCATGATTCGTGCTGCCATGTCCATAATAGTTGCTAGTTGAAATTTTCTTGAAAGATAAGTAGGAACGTAGGTCAGCATACAAGGCAAACAAGGACATACTAAAGGGTAGGTTAAGTCAATTCGTTGAAAGGTTCACAGGGCCAGTACTGACTGTGCGATTGCACCAAGTTAGGTATGCTCTACAAACATTGTTGTGGCCGACTCTCAGCTCCGATCCTGGAAGATAGTACGTAGCGAATCGCTTAAGTCGCAAAATCGCTTTTCTCATGCTTTCTACCACGCCTTGGTTGACCGTCTCTGGCATTGTACAACCAATACATCGATGACAAGCAATACGCGATCAACAGGCGTGTATATTCCGTCCGTTTGGTTTATATAGGCTCACGAATGACGCACCTCATTCACAAGCTATCAGACGTATATATTGCAAGCAAAGTCGACCGGTTTCTTGCTGTGTTCACTGTGCTCCATGCGGTACCCCGACTGTGTTTGGTGATATCGCGAACTGCTAGCCTCTGGGCCCAGCACTTCAACAGCACCTTGCAGCCTGAAACTGCGAATCACGTACGTCGAATCTGATTCCGATTTCGGGATAGCTTTGTCATCCACATGCTCAAACTTTATCATTCAGTCACTCATGGGAACTCGCAGACTCTGAGAGGGGTGAATCATGTTTACCCCTCTTGATCATGCGGTTGGAAAGAGATAGGACTACAGACCAGTTTCAAAGCATCACTTGCAGTCATGGACTGCGAAGGGAACTCTCCCTAGTCACTTACTCTATTTCTAGACACGTAACAAATAGATTTGGAAGCACGAGTTTCCTTGTCACACTTCAATTCTGACACGATCCACCAAGTCAATGAAATCCTTCCACTGAAGATAGATTATCATGGTGGTGTTCAGTATTCAGTACGTTTAGGTACTTAGTGAAGTGTAACTATGTAGACTGTATCCAAAAGCAGTTCAAAAGCTAGATTCGGCTCTTATTGCTTCCAGTGAGTTACCACCGGTTAATGTATTTTGCGAGTTTTCGGACAGTGGCTATAAGCTGACGAACTTGATGACTTATATGTAGAGCTCTGTTGCGCTTATATAAAGATGTTGATCGCAATTGATATTCGGCATGTGCAACCACTTCCTCAATGTCCCATGTGATATTAACTAAAGCGACTGGGCCAATCCCAGTATGTCTTTTCCCTTTTTCAAGAACGATGGAGCATAATCATTTGCTCCGGGTGCCTTGTTCCCAGATAGAGCTCATGTTCAACCGCTTTCATGAACCGTGACGTTAACATCCCAAATAGATTGACATGACGTGGCTGTTATTGGGGTCAAATTTGGCCTGCTTAATTGTCCTACAGAATGCTCCACCTGACCTTAATGTCTGTGTTTTCGATTGCAAATCAATCGCCTATTTCTCCCAGTTATTGATTCACTGACCGAAGGCTTCCTTGGAACCCTTCTCCCTTCCCTCTGGGTTCCATCATTTACCGGACCTGACCGATTCCGAGGCTCATAACCCGATACCATTTCGTTATGCCACGGACATGTTGCATTTCAATACCCCCAACGGAACTGATCAATATTAGAACATTGTGCCTAGCTTACAATGATGTCGCAGAGAACGCCAGTCGTAATAATAGTTTTCTTTCGGAAAGAGTAGAACCGTAGCCTTCTGGTCCCGTGCTTCTACAGCGTCGTACACCGTGGTCTGCTGTGTTCTTGTATAGGCTTTCCTTGCATAAGTAACCGTTTTCCGATACCCAACACTGCTCCTCATTGTAGATATCTGAACACTATGCTATTTCAGTACTCTGTCTCCAGAAAAATGCGGTGTTCTTTTCAACTTCCAAAAAGTCATTACAGTTGTTAGAACTGCTTTCACCAAACTTCCAGGATTCCTCACATTATTTGTCCGAACTTCGATCTGTCCGATCTATTTCGTCTCCACCTTCAATTCATGTATGCCAAATTCGAATGAGTATCTGATTGCTGAATTTCCACATTACTTTACCGATTAGCATATTCATCAAACATCTATAACCAGGTCTTCGTCTCAGTGATGTGTGTTTTCTCTCTTCGCATTCTACTAACCGTTCTGTTTCAACTTTCATCCCTTTTGCTTTTCTTGCCAGATTCTAGCTCGCCCTCTGTCGTTTCTCCCGATATGCCACTGGATTCTTTGGAGCCCCCCTCTACGGTTAAGGTAAAATTTTCTCACTGCTCACTTGGCTTTGTGACCTGGTTTTTGAACAGTCTTATCCTCCGCGAACCATGACCCCATCAGTCCATCTCCTATACTATGTGCGGCTTTTCAGCAAACTTGTCACATGAGCGTCTACGCTGCATCACTCTCAACCGACGTCATGTGGTCTCAGACTCACTGATTTTCCGTTGCGCAATACTCGGGGCAAGACGACTCCGAGAATCCGAGTGGGCTGTTTCATTTTCAGGATTTTCTCTGCGTAGGCCCACGCTCTATCCCATTATACAAAAGCTTCTGCTGCTTACCAAGGTTTTAAGTGGAATGTAGTTTTATCGCTGCCTGAGGTCATCTTACACAGGTACGCATCGCTGACTGGATGGTGCCAAATGCAATCGCAGAATCCTTAATCCAACCCGTTTATTGCCGTTTATTGACTCTCATTAGTTCAGTTCAGTTGATCAACTATGATCCGAGCACCAAAGTGCGGTGGATCCGTCAGAATGACAATAAATAACACCGTTTGGATAGTGGGGTTGGGTGCAAATAGAATGTAGAGAAAATGAAAGGAAGTTGGAAATACGTTAGGCTAATCAGAAGGAAACTAAACTTAACAACCAGATGCAAGAAACCGAATGCAGGAACGCCACTGAGCTTGTGACTGCGCCATGTCTGACACGGTCTCCAACCATTGGTGTGGACCGTCCCGAGGCCCCCATCCACGAAGACGGCACGCACCAGCCTGACCAAGTCTCTCAGTCAATTTCTTCACCCCACTATGCCACGTCATGGTGTGGTCACCTGGCGGTTTCTCCCAACTTGGTGCAACCACGGCGCAAAATACATGCCGAGGAAGTCGATCAACGGGCATACGGAGAGCATGGCCTGGTCAGCGCAAGCGACTAAGATTTGGCAAACACTCGAATGAGGCACCAGAAGGGTTCTTGCTAAAAACCAACTGGTGGACTTCAGCATTGCTCAAATGGGAGCAATCATTCGCAAGCACCGGTGGTCAAACACGGTCAAACGTTTAATGTCTACGCCGCGAAGTGACCAGGTCTCTGATCCATACAGAAACACTGGCGTTATCACAGCGTTAAACACCCTACCTTTTGCGGACAGGCTGATATCCCGCGGTCTCCATCGATGGTTGAGCCTCTGGAAAGCCACACGGGCTTTGCTGTTACGCGAAGTAACCTCAGTTTTCTGACCGCCATAGTTGACACATCTATCAAGGTAAGTGAACCAATCCACCACTTTCAGGGGCTGTTCGGAAATAGCTAAAACCGGAGGTGTGTCGGCCCAATCCTGCAACAGCACTTTGCACTTTGAAGGTGTAAAGCACATGCCGTATTGTGCAGCACTACGCACAAGTTTGTGATAGTGTTTGCATAGTCATTGCATCAGACCCGAGGAGAACTATGTCCTCCACATGCTCCGTGTTTATCAGTCGGTCGCCTGAAGAACTTCACTCCAGAACCGAGTCGTTAATGATTATTTCCACCACAAAGTTGGAGAAAAGGACATACAATACATCCTAGCGAACTCCACTTTTCGTTGGGAATTCAGCAGAGTTTCGCATAGACCGTTACACTTCGTCGGGAATCGTGGTTGAGGAACTTCATAATAAAAGGAGTTAAGCTGGCGCGCCCTACATGAATGGGCTGTATCACAAGCTGGCGGGGTTAACAGAATCACAAGGCAGCTTTCAGGTCTAAGAAAACCGTCATAGTCGGTCGTCTATATGTGTATTTGTTCTAATACTTGGCGAAGAGTAAATATGAGGTCGATGCGACCGCGGTCCTCACGGCGACCAGTAAGTCGTCGGAGAATGATACCCGTGAGAAGTTTTGAGGCAATGGAAATAAAACTATTGCCTCGATGATTTTTGCATCAAGTAAGCTGGCCTGCTGACATAGCCGGTACACCAAATGCCACTTGGTACGCTGACCTTTCTTGAAGATGAGCACGACAGCTGACAGTCGCTAGTTTAAAGGCACTTCTGCAGGAGAGGTGACCAAGTGATGACTTGTTCGGTATGAATGAAGACCCTCATTTCGAAACTGCCCTTGTTAGAGCGTCTCTGCTCTCTGGTTGGGGTCCGAAAGACGATGAACACGTTTGGCTGGTTAAACTTGCTGACATGGCTATCAGCCGGCCTCATTGGCGTTCGTGCTTTGAGTTTCTTTGTCCCTCCCCATCCCTCTTATCCCCCCGTCCAACCAAGATCTAACTAAGCGTTATATAATATTGCATAATAATTTTTTTTGCTGCATAGTAGCCGGCTGCTAGCTTTCCGGGACGATGCCCATCCGTTGCTGGTAGCTCAGCTAGCATGCATCTGTTGCACTTTTTCTTTTATGTATTGCAGCACAATGGCTGAGGTGTTTCCCACCTCTAGCTAACACGTTAAGTATGAAAGTGAGTTCAGTCAACAAAGAGTCACCACCATCTTTCAGCAAACATGGGGGAAGGTCGTCGGGTTCCAGAGCCTTGTTTCTTTTTAATACGGTGAGCTGATGTCGAATCTCTTCCGAAGTGGGATGTGCCACATCTACTGCACAACACGGTTCAGGTGATTCGGCAGGCGGCAGTGTCACAACGGCTCTGCTGTACAGCTCCTCAAGATGTTCCCCCCAACCGCCTAGTCGACGGCGTTGAGAATGGATCAGCAGTCCGACTCTTAGCTACTGTTTCACCAACTGATGACTTTCTCGGACCTTGACTTTTACCAACCACTCACCTATGGTTGTTTTTGTACCCTAAGTAAGGTTCAGCCTTTCAACCCTTGTACTTCGCGTTTGTGTATTCGTCCAGATGAGTAAGTGGCTTCTTTGGTTCACTCGTTTACTTCCTGTGGCATGTTTGTTACCAAGCTCTTAAACAAATAAATTGTCCTTTCAAATAGTTTAAAAATAAACCTTTTATTTCTCGACATCTTTAGAGACGACTGTTCTCACATTTACCAGATGTTGAGTTTCTACTGTTTGGATGTAGGAGCATACATTAACAAATACTATCTTGCGCAGACAACGCAAGAATTTCGCCCCTCGACAAATAACAGTTCTTCGCTATGCTTTCGCGTGCCGTCCACTGGAAGGTTGGAGTGTGTGCACTTTAGCAGAGAAAATTAGTATGCATATAAGTTGTTTTGCATGGTAGCCGACGAAAGGACTTCATGACTGGTTCATACCAATGTCAAACGGTCATTGTGCTCGAACACGGTGATTGTTACATTTACTGGAGGTGGAGAATTTTCCGCGGTCGTTCTTTATCTCTTTTCATTGGCTTGCTGATGTGTACTTCCGATCTCGGATGCTCCCTACTGAGCGTCTTGAGCTTTTTCATTTGTTGTGGTGTTCACCTAGCTGAAAAACTTGTTTGCAGACCTTCCATCACCATTCGTAGTGACACAGCATCAGTGCGGAATTAATCTCAGTTTCGTAGCAAGAGCTAGTGGAAAGCAAATCGTCAACCACTACACCGTTCCTCTTATAGTCATATAGACAGTGGCATGGCAACTGGTTTTGTCGCCCGGGGCTGTGGTAACGTTTTCGCCCTAACTGAGGGCAGAATAGGCTCGTAAAGGCCACCCAACCGACTCACAGTAAACCACAGCTCAGTTTTTGTTGAAATGCATGATCGTTTGGGACACTGAGGTAAATGTGGTGAATGTGACCACAATGGGACAAGTGAGGGGATCGCTGAAAAGGTGTTGTTGGTCATACCACTCAACTCCCCCTACTACCCTTCTGCAATCAGTACACAGACCAAACTGCTTATAATGCCATAGGTCAATTGGCGGCTTAAGTTTGGTAAGCTCGTCGCTTGGTGAGATGGCTACCCTGTCCTATGCACGGCAGTAACGTGTAAGTCAGTGGATAGTGAGCGGCGCTATATCACACCTGGTAACTTATTCACGATGGTCGTTGCCGTCCCCCGTAGCTCAGTGGTCTCAACCACGGACTGGCAACAGTCGAGTTGCGGGTTCGAGCCCTACCAGGGTCCGATGGAATGCGCACTGCTGACGATTCCCGAAAGGATGAAACGCGCGTACAGTGCTTTTCCGGGCGTGCGACGGCTGTCTGAGTGAGTCTAGATGTGACGAATTTCTACCTATACCATTCAACTCCCCCTACTACCCTTCTGCAACACTAAAATAGTCAACCCTCGGCTTATGTGGGAATTTTGCCCTTTGCATTCGGTATTGAAAAATTAACGGTTCTAAAAATACCGCCCCCTGTCAAATGCTACCCGGGGCGGACCGTTCATCCGCCCTCCTTGCTACGCCTCTGATATGGGGCTAACGACTGGGTCTTTTTTGATTGGTTCTTCGTAGTATTTTACATTTGTGCTTGAACCATAACTGTATTCCACAGAAATATTGTTGCGACGTGGTTGGGATTCTTATACTTGGATTGGTGCAATGCGCATAGAACAAGATGTGTACTACCTCGAGCGATGAAAAACAAGACAGAAAACGCTTGGATAAATATTGATTGGGGCGGGAGAAGAAACCGATTGCTACCACATCGAAAAATCAAGAATGTTGTAAGGCCTTCAATAGGGCAAGGCCGAGGGAATAAAGGTGACATGGGTCAGAAAAGTGGACACAGTTTGTTTTCCATCTTCCACCTTGCTGTGAACATGAGAGCCGCACAGCGAATATTGCCGAGTACGGAAAGAACAAAACTGAGTAGTTATATTCCATCCTCGTTATTCCCTATTTTGCCCACACCGTTTCCAAATATTTCTCTGACTGCAACGGTTGGTCCAGCGCATCTTTTCACTGGGTGCTACCTTCTTACTTCCCTCTTAAGCATCTACTGTTCAATTCCCTCATCTCATTACGCTTTTAATTGCATCAATCGTCTATCTGGTACGCCTCATGCCGAAGCATCATCGGTTTATGTCATACGGACTCTATTCTCTCATTCTTTGTTTTAACCATTTCAGCCGGCTGTCCACTCTTCCCCGATGCCTTTTCCGACGTTGATCGAAGTACACAAAGCCCTCTTCTCCGAACGACTCTTGCGACTGTCCAATGAGACCAAATCTAATGTCTCACAATTGATACATCACATGATCACGGAGTCGGAAGGACTGCGTCATCTGCATAACCTCAACTCGGTCTCAGCCCAGCACCTGCCTTCCTCCATGCTCCAGGTTTGTCTTACTGTGCTTTCCTTCGGTGACTCATCGTTAAATGACTGTAACCTCTTCATTAATCTTATTGCGTTCTCGGTCGGACGTCGTGGAAGACCGCTTTCGCTGATTGGGGATACACTTGTTCCCTTCGCTTCCATTTCCCAACCTTTAATGACCGTCCTTAGTTCCACTGCGTTGCATGCGAGCAACTATTGGGCATATTTTGCGTCGTAGTCGTCCTAGTTTTGTACTGTGAACCATTGCTGTGTTCCTCGCGCAGTGCCGTTTACCCTACCCTTGTTCATCGCCACATGTAGATGGACTCTTAGTAACTTGATTACATTCAGCCCACCGTACATCGAGTACAATCCCCATGTCTGTCAATCCACAGACATTCGGTGTGTCTTCTATCTCCAGCCGACTGTTAACAACCTACCTGTTTACACACCTTTTTGAGAGTTACAATCGTTTCCATGCCTATTGACGTTTCCCTTTTCTCATCTCTGATTCTTTTGTATTGGAGCTGACTAACACCTTCATACATGGTTCAGTACGTTTCTCGCGACATCAAATCAACAAAATATCTTGTCGACATGAAACAACCTCAGCTAAGGATCTGCGTTAGTATATCCCCTGTTTTCGAATGATTTTTCACCTAAGTGGAGCTTAATGGTCTCATGTCTTAGCTTTGTGCTTAATTATTACACTAATTGGCTTCTCAGCCTTGATTATCTATCAAGTACTAATCAATCCCTTGAGTACTTGAGATTGACCGATTCTTACATAGAATTCCTATTTAAGTGTGTTCCTTGTATATGCATTTGTTAGACTTCAACTACTTTTTTCTTCCGATTCTCATTAATTTCAATGCATATCTGACTAACGTATTGTTTTCTTCGGCTGTTAACAAGATCAACCAATCGCGTCCGAATTCCGTCCACCCAGTACGGCTCAACGGGTCAAAGGGGTACGCAAACCGTCGAACCACGTTAAAGTCCAGTCTCGTTTCTACGGGTAGATGTCACCGATCCGCATAGTATTAGTTCAGCGAATGCGAACGGTGACAGGCTGCTCTCACTGTGCGCCACTCACGGCCTGACGATCACGAACACTCGTTTTGCACTGAGTCCGAGTGATATAGCGACTTGGACGCACCCACGGAGTGGGTGGGAGAACGTGTAGTGACCTGGAGATTCCCCCGGTTCATGTGTAAACCAATCGTAAATACGATGAACAGACCGTTGTGTCTGCCGATCCCTGGTCATTAGGTTCACAGTAGTCGGAAGGAAGGAGATCATTTAGGCGGGATTAGAATGTCAGCTCCATGGGAGAATGCCATATTATTTAGGTATAAGTACTGAAGGAGAGCATCGGCGGAGTAGACATGTAATGGAGGAAAGGTGATAGTATAATAAGGATGAAGCATGACCAACAATGCATTTGAGGTGAGAGTTACAGGACGTTACTTGGGCAGAACCTAGATCATTTAGATCTCAGAAGTCCGAGATGGATCAGCAAGCAGGAGACCGTACAGACAAGTCCGGATAAGCCAGCAAGCTGATTCTGGGCCGCCAAATTAAGGTGTGAATAAAGATAATGTGTGTCATAAGGAAAAAAGCTTTCAGGACGACAGCGGCTATATGAAAAGTCAGTTAGCATGCCGAGCAAAGGTCTCGGGATGTGCGGAACAGCTTGTTTGGAATGCAGAGCCTAGATCCATAACGTCTCGGATGTCTGGGAGCAGTCAGAAACAGGAGACTGGTCAGCCACGGCTAGATTAGAGCCAGGCCCGAAGAGTTATCCGTCCAATTGCAAAAGTAATGCAAACAAAGTTCGCAATGTAAAATGCCCTTTTGAGGAGAAGTAGAAAAGCCAACGACATTCTCGGGGTGATGTGAGGAGACCGTTAAGTCTGCCCATCCCTTACCATTAGGGTCACAGTATTCGGAAGCAAAGAGAACATTGAGATGATATTAGAATATCAGCTCCAAGGGGGAAAGCCGTACAATTTAGGTCTACCTACTAACTGAGAGCATTGGCCGAATAGACACGTAAAGGAAGAAAGGGGATATAATAATAAGGATGAATCATGACCAACAATGTACTTCGGCAGAGCCTAGATCATTTAGATCTTAGAAGTTCGATAGGGGTCAGAAAGCAGGAGACCGTTCAGCCGAGTCCAAATAAGCCAACAAAATGAAGCTAGGCCGCAAAATAACAGCGTGAGTAAAAGTAATGGGTGTCAACAGGAAGGAAGCATTTTGGGACTAATTGGCTATATGAGAACGCAGTTAACATGCCGAGCGGAGTTCTCAGGTTGAGGGACAAAGTGTGTTGCGACAGCAGAGCCTAGGTCGTTTATGTCTCGGATGCCTGGAAGTGATCAGAAAGCAGGACATTGGTCAGACGAGGCTACATTAGAGTCAGGCCCGAAGGGTTATCTGTCCAATTGAAAAAGTAATGCAAACAGAGAGCGTGAAAAGGAAAGAATTGGGAAGAAGTGGAAAAGTCTCCAACGATCTCCAGGTGTTGTAAACAGACATTTGGATCTGTCGACAATTTATCGTTAAGGTCTCAGTAGTCAGAAAACAGGAGACCATTGAAACGAGACTGGAAGGTCGGCTCATAGTGAGAAATCCATATTATTAATGCCGAAATGCTAACAAAGAACGTCGGTAGAATAGACATGTTAAGTAAGGAAAGGATACAATAATAAGGATGGATCGTGATCAGCGATCTTCTTGAGGTAAGAGTTACAGTATATTACGTCTTTAGAGTTTGTAACCTCAACAGTCTATTAACTAGACATAGAGCCAGCAAGTAGACATAGATCGTTTAGATCCGTGAAAGGTCAGAAAGCAGGAGACTGCTCAGATGAAACCGGGTAGATCCTCAAGATGATGCTATGCCGCCAAATTAATGCGGGAATAAAGGTAATGAGTAATGAGTATCATGAGAAAAAAGTAGTTTGTGGCGAAAGTAACTAGATGAAAAGGCAGTTAGCATGCCGAGCAAAGATCTGAGGATAAGGATACCAGAATGCTGGGACTGCAAAGCCTATATCGTTCACGCCGCCGATGTCTGGATGCAGTCAGAAAGCAGGAGACTGGTCAGACGAGGCTAGATTACAGCCAGACCCGGAGAGTTATCAGTCCAATTCAGTATGCAGTCGCTGTGTGGTTACATCTATATGTGAGCAGGCCCTTGTTGCCCGAAATCGTCTTCAGCAACGCAGCTGCCCAGAAGTTCCGCCACTTTTGGTAAGCTGAGTAATCGTTTTAGGGCCGAGGAGAATTCCACTGTATTTTCTGACGTTCTGACTATTTCTGGTGGCTCGTTTCATACGTCCGTATACCTATAGAGGATGAAGGTTAAACGAAGGTTACGATGTGTCTTAGGGAGAAAGAATTAGTGGGGCATTTTGCGTATGAGGTAACGTGTATCACCCATCGGTTGAAAAAATTGGCCTATGCATGAGTCCGAGATTTTGAGAAGTTTGTAGAGGATTACGAGGTCTGCGCAGCCAGAAGCTCCAGGCCAAGCAGGTTGCAGTGTCCTTGATAGCTGAGCGTAGATGGACCAAAAAGGCGCTTAGTGAACGATCGCTAGACTTCCTCGAGCCTCAATCTATCACTCTTTCATGAATTGGAGATAAGTATCGAGCAGTACTCTAAAATCGGTCGAGCACATACTTTGTAGAGCGTGTGCCGAGACTCAGCCAGGCCCACTGACTTCATTGTATACGCAATAATAGATCTGGCTTCGGCAGTGCTATAGTTTGCTTGTTCGGAAAAGGTTAGCGAGCTAGAGTAATGCACACCGAGGTCGCGCACGGTGGAGCTGTTGCCTAAGGATGTGCCGTTAAGAGTTAGGGTGCTGTGTGGTATAGGGAAAAGGTAGGAGAGGACGTTGCATTTCATTTGTGAGAATTCTAGTCTCCAAATATCACATCAATTTTTGAGCGCGTGAAGATCGTACTGAATGTTTGAGAGGCCATTTTGTAGAAAGCTAGGCTCGAACGAAAATACAACTTTGATATCATCGGCAAAACGTATGGAGTGCAGTACCGAAAGACGCGGAATTCGTCATTAACATATAACAGAAACAGCAGAGGGCTAAGTAAACTAGCTTGAAATACTCCGCTAGTTACGGGTGCCCTTTCGGAGGACATATCACCTAGATTTACTGACTGCGTTCGGCAAGAGAGGTAGGAAGAAAAGCAAGAATGAAGATGGTTAAAGACACCGAATGCAGCTAGTTTCGTCAGCAGTCCATTACGTGGAACCGGGTCAGACGCTTTTTTCAAGTCCAAGAAGATAATTACTAGCGCTTGCCCCGAGTCAGTGGAGTGTCACGTAGTTCAAGAATTCAAACTGGCATATTTGACAAGATACAGCCGGCAAAAACCCGTGTGGGAACCTATTTATGAGATTGCGCTGCAGTAGGAAATGAAGCATTCCCTCCTTGCCTAGCCTTTCCGTCACTCTGAACGCAAAGGGTGTGTGACTTATAGGTCGATAGTAGTCGATATTTTGGCGACAAGCTCCTTGGTGCTGTGGAACGACTATCGAGTGCTTCCACATGGTTGGGTAGTTTCCGCTCGTCCTGAAGTGGGTGAAAACTTTGAGAAGACGAGTTGGAATATCCGGGCCTCCGAGTAATAGTAAAGAAGATGGGAGTCCGTCAGGGCCGGGGTTGTGTGGCAGCTTCAGTGAGCGTAGAGCTCGACTGATTTTGTTCAGGTTGAAGTCATCAGTGGGAATGCGATCGTCTGTAAATTTTGAACTCGCATTTGGCAGTAACACATTAGTGTTGTTGAAGGCATCACAGAAGTGTGCGTTAATGAAATCGCACAACTTTGCTGCGTCAATAATAATCCCATTATCAGGAAGCACGAGTGAGTTCATCGGCAAGTTGTTGCGGCCACTGCGATGTTTCATAAGTTGTACAAGTGGTTTAGTTTTGTTCGAACTGCGCAGCGCAGTGCGCTCAGCTCAATTATACACATGACTGCGAGTTTCTCCATTCCACTGGTATTTCATTTATCCGCATTATGAGGTGAAAATCCTTAGTATTCTGGTAGCAAGAGCGTATTTTACTAAGCTTAGTGGTAATTTTACGCGTGGGTGAGCCATCGAGACTTTGAGGTCTCCTGATCGAGCGCTGCAGTGGGGCTAGGATATCGAGGCAAATCGTGAAGTTATTGTAAAGTTCACAGGTCGCAGTGTCCGTAT